ATTCCACCCACTTCAAGACTCTGCACCAATATAGAAGCATCAAGAAATATGGGCCAATAGGCCCTTTGCATTTACTTCCATTCTTCCCCTTTAAATTTACTCAATATTACCCAATATTTCGTGTTCTATCTTGTGTTGAAAGTTTGTTTTCACCTCATCCAAAACTGTTGTAACATATCACCTCACCCAAATACAGGTATATAAAATGAAAAGCCATTTGATTTATAGCATAGTAAGAAATCTGTTTTAGTGTTTGCAGGTTATAGTTGTGTGTGTGTAAACTAAGGTCTTTGAAAATGTAATAAGTTCAAGTGTCGCGTCAGACTGGAAATAAAAATGAATATTGTAGTACTGATTTTTCAATTACTATCGACAGTGAAAAGAACCTTAAGAAATATTGAGAAAATTCGTGTTAAAATTATTAATCTTATTTTTTCGGTCATATTTAATAATATATATATATATATATATATATATATATATATATATATATATATATATATATATATATATATATATATATCGTACCTAGTAGCCAGAACGCACTTCTCAGCCTACTATGCAAGGCCCAATTTGCCTAATAAGCCAAGTTTTCCTGAGTTAATATATTTTCTCTATTTTTTTTTCTTATGAAATGATAAAGCTACCCATTTCATTATGTATGAGGTCAATTTTTTTTATTAAAGTTAAAATTAATGTAGATATATGACCGAACCTAACCAACCCCACCTAACCTAACCTAACCTATCTTTATAGGTTATGTTAGGTTAGGTAGCCGAAAAAGTTAGGTTAGGTTAGGTTAGGTAGTCGAAAAACAATTAATTCATGAAAACTTGGCTTATTAGGCAAATCGGGCCTTGCATAGTAGGCTGAAAAGTGCGTTCTGGCTACTAGGTACGACATATATATATATATATATATATATATATATATATATATATATATATATATATATATATATATATATATATATGACTGAAAACTCACACCCCAGAAGTGACTCGAACCCATACTCCCAGGAGCAACGCAACTGGTAACTACAGGGCGCCTTAATCCGCTTGACCATCACGGCCGGACAAAAGGAAGTGATAGCCGAAGCTATTTGAACCACTTCCCCACCGGCAACTCGGATGGTAATCTTGGGCATAGCATTTTGTCAAATCACCTCATTCTTTGGGGCACACGTGAGGAACACAAATGCGAACAAGCCTGAATGGTCCCCAGGACTATATGTGACTAAAAACTCACACCCCAGAAGTGACTCGAACCCATACTCCCAGGAGCAACGCAACTGGTAACTACAGGGTGCCTTAATCCGCTTGACCATCACGGCCGGACAAAAGGAAGTGATAGCCGAAGCTATTTGAACCACTTCCCCGCCGGCAACTCGGATGGTAATCTTGGGCATAGCATTTTATCAAATCACCTCATTCTTTGGGGCACACGTGAGGAACACAAATGCGAACAAGCCTGAATGGTCCCCAGGACTATATGTGACTGAAAACTCACACCCCAGAAGTGACTCGAACCCATACTCCCAGGAGCAACGCAACTGGTAACTACAGGGCGCCTTAATCCGCTTGACCATCAACGAGTTGCCATCCATCCATCCATCAACAAGATTACCATCCGAGTTGTCGGCGGGGAAGTGGTTCAAATAGCTTCGGCTATCACTTCCTTTTGTCTGGCCGTGATGGTCAAGCGGATTAAGGTGCCCTGTAGTTACCAGTTGCGTTGCTCCTGGCAGTATGGGTTCGAGTCACTTCTGGGGTGTGAGGTTTCAGTCACATATAGTCTTGGGGACCATTCAGGCTTGTTCGCATATATATATATATATATATATATATATATATATATATATATATATATATATATATATATATATATATATATATATATATTGTTACGGCCCTCTCGGGACGCAACGGGGTTCTTGCTCTGATGTTGTTAGAGGAAGATATATGTATCCGTTCCCAAGCCAGTAGTGGCTATCAAGGGATGAGATCCGTGACGCAAGTAACTTAAAAGGGAGTAGGGAAAGAAAGTTAAGAACTTAATATTATAATGTTCACCATCACCATTTAAATATATAAAATAAAAGAGTACACAAGGGGGAGGGGTATTAACACTTCACAAGGGGATCGTGCACAATCTAGTCTTCTGCTGAAGACTCTTGATCAAGAAGCTAGGTGCTGAGTCCGCGGTGCTGTCTTCGTGGCCTCAAGACGTGTCTTCTGAGAATACCGAGCCTACCCTGGCCACAGGTCAGCCAAAACACTGGTCCACTGGGGGCACCGTCGTGGAGGCCGTCAACCACACGTCCAGCAGGTCTGCTTGCAGGTACTGAGCCACCAAGGCTGGTACGGCCACTCCACGAACGATAAAAGGGGTACGCCCTAGACAGGAGTCTCGTGTGATATCACCAATCACCCTCCTGTCCTCAATACCCCAGTGGATTATCGTCTCCAACCGTCGGTCCCGGGTAAATCCTTTCACTGCCACTCCACTGGCAGGCTAACACACCACAGTGTTCTTCCGGGGGGACGACGTCACAATAGCTGCAGTAAACTTCACAGTATGGAGACTGGCTGCCTCGGGTAGACTGACTACACCTTCAACACAGTGGTCCCAGGTCGGCTCTGTAAGCAGACACGTCATTAATAACCGGGACACTAATACACCACACTCACAGGCTCAGATACAAACGCCCGACATATCCACTCCATAGATGGCGCTGTCGTCGGAGCACCACCTCACCAGAGGTCAGGAGCGGCGGTGTTGAGCTCTGAACCAGACTGGAAACTGGTCCTCGAGGCCAGTACACGCTGTCCTCACTAGGTGTCGTCGTTCGTTTGGCGGGGGTTTCGGGAGCTGACCCACAGATGGCGTGTTTGTCACTGCTCCAGGCTCGGACGCTGGATCCGGGTTCGTAACATATATATATATATATATATATATATATATATATATATATATATATATATATATATATATATATATATATATATATATATATATATATATATATATATATATATATATATATATATATATATATATATATATATACAAATATATATATGTGTGTTTATCCGGCCTCCTTGTGTTTATCCGGCCTCCTTGTGTTTATCCGGCCTCCTTGTGTTTATCCGGCCTCCTTGTGTTTATCCGGCCTCCTTGTGTTTATCAGGCCTCCTTGTGTTTATCAGGCCTCCTTGTGTTTATCCGGCCTCCTTGTGTTTATCCGGCCTCCTTGTGTTTATCAGGCCTCCTTGTGTTTATCCGGCCTCCTTGTGTTTATCCGGCCTCCTTGTGTTTATCCGGCCTCCTTGTGTTTATCCGGCCTCCTTGTGTTTATCAGGCCTCCTTGTGTTTATCAGGCCTCCTTGTGTTTATCAGGCCTCCTTGTGTTTATCCGGCCTCCATGTGTTTATCCGGCCTCCTTGTGTTTATCCGGCCTCCTTGTGTTTATCCGGCCTCCTTGTGTTTATCCGGCCTCCTTGTGTTTATCCGGCCTCCTTGTGTTTATCCGGCCTCCTTGTGTTTATCCGGCCTCCTTGTGTTTATCCGGCCTCCTTGTGTTTATCCGGCCTCCTTGTGTTTATCCGGCCTCCTTGTGTTTATCCGGCCTCCTTGTGTTTATCAGGCCTCCTTGTGTTTACCCATCGAAATTGGCACGGACACATTTGCGGCCATAATATGTTTGCTACTTATTTTTACTGCTAACCAATAACTAGTAACTAACCAGAGGGGCCTGACGGATGAGTGGATAGGGCCCGGGATTCGTAGTCCTAAGGTTTTTAGTTCGATCCCCGTCCGAGGCGGAAACAAATGGGAACAGTTTCTCTCACCCTGATGCGCCTATTCACCTAGTAGGTACCTGAGAGTTAGGAAGCTGCTACGGGCTGCTTCCTGGGGATGTGTAACAAAAAAGAGGCCTAGTCGAGGACCGGGCTGCGGGGACGCTAATCCCCGAAATCATGTCAAGATAACCTCAAGATAACCAATATACAATGAAGTATGAGTAGTATGAATTGCATCGGTGGGATGGGTGTTCTTGATGTGTAATCAGGACAAATGTTTTAAATTGGGATGCCATTTGAATAGTCAAGTAAAGCACGAAGTCATTCACAAATTGAAGTTAAACCGCAAAGTCCTCGATAGCTTAAGTGTATGTTTTAATGATCAATGGACGCCAGAATGCATATTTCCAGCATTGTTTATATATATATATATATATATATATATATATATATATATATATATATATATATATATATATGTGTGTGTGTGTGTGTGTGTGTGTGTGTGTGTGTGTGTGTGTGTGTGTGTGTGTGTGTGTGTGTGTGTGTGTGTGTGTGTGTGTGTGTGTGTGTGTGTGTGTGTGTGTGTGTGCTCACCTAGTTGTACTCACCAAGTTGTGTTTGCAGGGGTTGAGCTCTGGCTCTTTGGTCCCGCCTCTCAACCGTCAATCAACAGGTGTACAGATTCCTGAGCATATTGGGCTCTATCATATCTACACCTGAAACTGTGTATGGAGTCAGCCTCCACCACATCACTTCCTAATGCATTCCATTTGTCAACCACTCTGACACTAAAAAAGTTCTTTCTAATATTTCTGTGGCTCATTTGGGCACTCAGTTTCCACCTGTGTCCCCTTGTGCATGTGCCCCTTGTGTTAAATAGCCTGTCTTTATCTACCCTATCAATTCCCTTCAGAATCTTGAATGTGGTGATCATGTCCCCCCTAACTCTTCTGTCTTCCAGCGAAGTGAGGTTTAATTCCCGTAGTCTCTCATCGTAGCTCATACCTCTCAGCTCGGGTACTAGTCTGGTGGCAAACCTTTGAACCTTTTCCAGTTTAGTTTTATGCTTGACTAGATATGGATTCCATGCTGGAGCCGCATACTCCAGGATTGGTCTGACATATGTGGTCAGACCGCTTTAACGAGCCTCGCCTGAGAACAGGTTGTGTATTTGGCAGTGATTTTTTTTTTTACCTTTTCAATGGTGTGTGATGGTTTATGAGTGTGACGGACATTTCCTGAGACATATAGTCCCAGGAAATGCATCCTTATCCCATAGTGCAATACAGACGATATTGTGAGGTTCCGTTTTTAACGATAATTATGTTTTAAACGTTCCTCAGTGATAAGGTTAGTATATTGTCATAACTATGACATCACAGCTGCCGGGGGGGGGGGGGGGGGTGGAGTGACAGCTTCTACTGCGTCAGCGGTCTAAGTGATGGCTGCTACTGCGTCAGCGGTCTGAGTGACAGCAGCTACTGCGTCAGTGGTCTGAGTGACAGCTGCTACTGCGTCAGTGGTCTGAGTGACAGCTGCTACTACGTCAGTGGTCTGAGTGACAGCTGCTACTACGTCAGTGGTCTGAGTGACAGCTGCTACTACGTCAGTGGTCTGAGTGACAGCTGCTACTGCGTCAGTGGTCTGAGTGACAGCTGCTACTACGTCAGTGGTCTGAGTGACAGCTGCTACTGTGTCAGTGGTCTGAGTGACAGCTGCTACTACGTCAGTGGTCTGAGTGACAGCTGCTACTGTGTCAGTGGTCTGAGTGACAGCTGCTACTACGTCAGTGGTCTGAGTGACAGCTGCTACTGTGTCAGTGGTCTGAGTGACAGCTGCTACTGCGTCAGTGGTCTGAGTGACAGCTGCTACTGTGTCAGTGGTCTGAGTGACAGCTGCTACTGTGTCAGTGGTCTGAGTGACAGCTGCTACTACGTCAGGGGTCTGAGTGACAGCTGCAACTACGTCAGTGGTCTGAGTGACAGCTGCCTCCCCTTGCTGCGGTGAGGAGTGACCCAATGTCACTTAAAATATTAAAAGAAAAAAACAAAAGTGTGATGCAGATTGCAACTGAAGATAAACAAGGATAAGGTAGAAGATAAACAAGGTGTGAGCTTGGGTGTACCAAGAGTGCAGGTTCGAATCCTCCTGGGGTCGTGGAACACACACTGATCTCAGGCTGGGGTCGTGGACCACACACTGATCTCAGGCTGGGGTCATAAAACACACACTAATCCCAGGCTGGGGTCATAAAACACACACTAATCCCAGGCTGGGGTCATAGAACACACACTAATCCCAGGCTGGGGTCATAGAACACACACTAATCCCAGGCTGGGGTCATAGAACACACACTAATCCCAGGCTGGGGTCATAGAACACACACTAATCCCAGGCGGGGGTCATAGATTTTTTCAATAGTAGTTATTACATTGCATTCTTTTAGAGAATGATTAAATTTTATTTTATTGATCATTTATTAACCAGCCTGAGGAAATTAAAGAATGATTAATTAATTAGCTGCATGGAGTTGAGGAAATTAAAGAATGATTTATTAATCAGCTTCATCAGATTTATTAAGCAGGATGGGGTTGGGCGTATTCGTATATTCATAGTTGTATGAAGTTGCAGTGCATTCTATCATCAGTCGATGGCATTCATGATTTGCCAGATATACAACCTAGGAGAGTATAATGAGAGTTAACATAGCAGGTACTAAGAGGGTAGGAGACGGGGGTGACACGTAGAGCAGTATGTCACTCTCCTGATGACACAACTAGGTAGTCACACGTAGGCAAGCACAGTTCATTAACCGGGACTGGTTAATGGACGCATGCTAACGAACCGGTTGGATTAAAATTGGATTTACTGTTTATGTTTACACAGAGGCTGTATACAAAAACGGATGTCTGTCTGTCTGAATATCCTTGCTGGTTTGTCTGTCAAATATGGAAGGCCAAATGCTAAGGGCTAGCCTCACTAAACATCGTAGGGTGACTGGTGGGTGAATAAATATTACTTGACTAAATGTATTTTTACATTATATATAACTGGTGTATAAGAAAATAATAAAATATTGCGGCTAATAGCATTTTTTTCATATTGACATAGGAGTTAGTCATTCTAATCAGAGTTATAGATATAGAAATCATTAATATCTACCGAATCATCAATAGAATCACATATGTGCGTGAGGATCTAGTTTCTGTGTGTAGTGACACTGAGGACCATATCTGGCGTATTCGTATATTCTTAGTTGTAAAATATAAGAGAATGCCGAGAAAAGGAGCAAGCATGTGTAAGTTATTTGGTAGTAAGATTTAAATTATATTCACCAGCCCCAGTGTGTTAGTTGAATCAGTAAGTTGCTTTTCTATTTTAATCATGTTGATTTACTGTATGTGTCTTGGTGTCACATAAGGGGCATAACTGGCCGACCCCTCACAGTGTTCAAGAGAGAACAGGATAAGCACCTTCAAAGGATACCTGATCAACCAGGCTGTGACTCATACGTCAGGCTGCGAGCAGCCGCGTCCAACAGCCTGGTTGATCAGTCCGGCAACCAGGAGGCCTGGTCGACGACCGAGCCGCGGGGACGCTAAGCCCCGGAAGCACCTCAAGGTAACCTCAAGGTCTGTGCACTCACTTAGTTGTGCTTGTGGGGATTGAGCTTCGGCTATTTGGTCCCGCCTCTGAACTGTCAATCATCTGGTGTACAGATTCAGGAGCCTATTGGGCTATATCAAATCTACATTTGAAACTGTGTAATGAGTCTGCCTCCACCACATCAAAGTGGAGTGTGTGTGTGTGTGTGTGTGTGTGTGTGTGTGTGTGTGTGTGTGTGTGTGTGTGTGTGTGTGTGTGTGTGTGTGTGTGTGTGTGTGTGTGTGTGTGTGTGTGTGTGTGTGTGTGCGTGTGTGTCTATTGGACAAAATGAAAGGTAAAAAAATAATCAATATGGAGACGACTGATAAGTATAACCCCTCAGTGACAATTTAATTCGCCAATCATCTATTAATTAATGTTGCACCTGTCAACAGCATGACAGAGTATGTACCCTCTCCATGGACGCAAGAGGACACCAAATGAGTCAGGTGTACTTTGATAGAAACAGTCTGAAAGATGGCTTCTTGATTTCAACTAAAATAAATGTAAGATAACATTTAGTGCAGAGACCACAAGACCTGTAGACAATAGCAGGTCATAGATTCTTAAAAGTAAAATTATATCTTTATAGAATCGCATCAGGACCACATTCAAAGCTGCCAAACACCTGAGAAATTCTCAAGATTATGAAAACTTGATTATGAAAAAAATTACAGTACGAGGAAAACTGAGAGCTCAATCATATTACATTAGATATTAGCCAGAAAAAATGAGGAGATATGATCATGACGTATAAAATAACTTGGTAAGGGATAAAGACGAAATGCTGAGCAGCTGCAACAGTAAAGAGGGCGGTGACGAGCGGAATTTCGTGGGTCGTGAGACATTATATCAGATAACTAACAGTTGAAACTAAAAGCCAAAGAGGAGACGTGCAGCCGTCAAGGCTCGTATAGGTGTGTCCAATTAAGTCAGTACAGATCTCACAAATTTCACCAGCAAGAAAGAAATACTGAAATAATTATGCGATCAAGAACTCTAATATACCCATAGCGGAAATTAAAGATGCCCTTACATCGTACTTTTCCTTAAGAATTGCCTACTCAGCAAACGTAAACTTACTGGCCAATATTAACTAATTCTTTGTTATCCTTTAAGAAAGGTATTACAACGAAATCTATATACTCTGGTGAGATATTGGGAACAAAAAATTAACTAACAAAAAATGTCTGAAGATTATTGGTCAGATAATAATGCAATATGTTAAATTGCAAACACATTTATGAATGCATACATATAGACTAATTCCTGGAGGATATTAGGAGATCCAAATGCATGAAGGTAAAAAAATGTGATAAAAACAGCTTCATGTTTAACATCTTATTCAGCCACTCGTCGGCGATTAGGTAAAACCTGTCTTACCAGGAGCTCACATAATATACTTTAAAGCTTGTACCCTCCTCGGGGCGGCCCCAGGGTCTAAATCCAGCGACAAAATTCGAGGGAAATTTAATATCTAACCAAGACGTAATCCAGGAATGACGACTTCAATGATAACAATTCTCTCAAGAAACTCGTGAGATACCATTAACATCCTTAGGTGGCCTTACTATTGAGTCGTTTTTCATTTAACGATTGTTCCAGACTTGGCGTCTACGACAAGATGTTCAAGTCGACGCAAGAATCCCTCTTATCTTTATTCTGCCGGGTTGGCTGATTTAATAATGTTGCTTTATTTGAAATTGACTTCACTGCGTCCTACACACAGTCAAGCAGCTGATTGTTAGAATATTTACAGTTACTGATTTGACTATTAAAATAAGTTTATCTGCTTAGAAATGTTATTTAGCGTTTTCAATTAGCAAACAACAACCAACAGGCCGTAATGGGTAAGGAAACCCTCTGTATTCCGAAGTGTCAATTGTAAGAAAGGCCTATAGTGTCTTAAGTATGTTTATATGTCCTAAATATCATTCTACTAGGGTTTGATTGAATGTTATGCTCCAGTTCTCAATTACTGTACTTAATTCCATCTTTCATTTTCTATACATTCTAACACTGACTACACAGATACCTGTTTATTGAAATTTCTCCCATGAGTTTCTGTTCCTTTTTTATCTAAGAACCGTTTTGACATCCGTGCTGGGGGTAATTTATTTAATTATTATTTATTTCCTGTTTATTTTGGGATTTTGTCTATTTTGATAAGTTTGTATTTTATTTTTGCTCTACTTCACATTTCTTAAACCGTGTTTATACTTAGAAACGGAATCCATTTGATTTTCTTCCAAGACTTACATGGTTGTAGGCCTTACAAACAAAACAAAAAACCCGTCACATTAACTAGAATAAAAAATCTAATTATTGAATGTCAGCTATATAAATTTATCAGTGGCTATTGTAAGGAGTTGCGCTCTAGCTGCCGTGAGGTGCAGACATGTCGCCTGGCCTCTCCAGTAGTTGCAGTGTTGGCCGCTTTCGTCGGCAGGGGGTGTGGGTGTCTCTACCCTCCCAGCTGTTCCTGGTTGGTGTGGACGTGGCGCTTTTGACATGGGCGGCCATCTTCCCCCTGTTGTGACGGTAAACTCCGTGGGTTTGGAGTTTACTGGTCGTGCAGGATACCCTGTCCTGGAGATGGTCA